ATCCTTTCTGTGTGCGACTTTACATTCACGCAGTTGACTTTTTACAGACTTTAGTTCGGAACGAAGTATGACAGAAATGTCCAAACAATTTTGAAAAGATGTAGATCTTATGCCAGAGAATGGCAACTCGCGCATTGCATTTTTTCTTTCATAATATTCGTTCAGCCTTTTGGTATCGCGTTCCCTTTTATGCTTTGTTTTCTCCTGGACGAGCTGTAAAGAGTTTGAAAATTTACTTGATTTACTCCAACATTGTCTTGAATAATGTCCGAATTTGTTGCATTAGTTGCATTGCTTATCTATTGCTGAACATGTCCCAAAACGATGATTTTGTAATCCACATCTGACACACATTAGATTTTGACAGGAATAAAATGTCCACGTTCTCCATTGAGGTCGAAAACTATATTCCATCGCTGAATAAACTGAGATGATGGGAACTAGCGATCTAACTGTCACTTGCTGCTTGAGATACTGGTACCGTGTGTCGAACTAAAAAGTCGACACGCCTCTGGGTTTCCTCCACCATAAATGTAACCGGGGACTGGCTACTTGATTGATAATGGTCCTACACCATAAATGTAACCGGGAGACTGGCTACTTGATTGACGATGATAACGAGCTGCAACCGACGACCGATTGCAGATGTTTGCGATGCCAACATTAGACAATGACTAAGACTTAGTCACTTGCCTGAGAATACTCGCTTGAACTGCACTTGTAGAATTAGACACAAGTCCTATGCAGTAGTTAACAGTTTATTGATTCAGGATGGAATACATGTACTTTTACAAATGAGCGGATGTTGTCAGTACGAATGTCCGACTCTCACTAGAGTAAGAACTTCAGAAAACATATTTAAATCGAGAATTTACATGGTTACAATAATAGAAACGAGATTACCGAATGACAATGAAATAATACAATTAGCACTTGAAAGATTAACAAAAGAATATTACAAAAATCTGTCGTTTGAGTATAAGGCTTAATAGTGCTAATTGAAATGACTAAAGAATTAATTATTCTTTACATTAGAAAACTTAAGAATTATGTAAAGCTGTGACTTTATCTATTATTTACAAAAAGAATTATATAGAAACAAATTCCGACTTTGTGAAAATATACTGACACTTAATTGTTACTTATAACACAAAAAGCTTTATAAAGAAAAATCGTTACATGTTAATAAAATTACTTTGACGGACAAATATTGCAAATAAAATGATTTAGATAAAATGATAGTAAGTATAACAATATAATGACATTTCATGACCGAACAGTTTGTCTGTGAGAGTCCAAAGATACCAGATTTAAGAAATCTAATCCTTTTAAATAGTTTCAAATAAAGATGCATAATTTACACAAATTGTCGCTATCACACTATGACAACAGAATGGTTGATATAGAATTAAAGACTCTTTAGTTGTTTTGTCCAAAAAACAACAAACAAACAAACAAAAAACAATATGTATATATACAAAGATAACTATGATGGATGAAAATACATGTGAAAAATTGAAAAAAATGAAAATTTGTAATAAAATCTTGATGAAGAAAAATGACCATAATTCTGTTATTTGGCAGAATCTAGCAAAATAACTTGTCAGGGTGTTTTGAATCTATGTATAATCTATCTATAAAAATGCAAAAAAACTCATTTTGACCCTGTTACCTCCATAAGCCTGAAAATCTCATGGCTGGTCACAGTTATGTACACTTATAAACCTTGATCCTGTTGATTTTTATATTTTTGCATTGCACACTGTCATGTTTTTCTCAGACTGTAATGACGTATTTCATTCAGTAACTGTGAATGCTCTTCGATCGGTGGTTTATGATTGTTTTTTTTTTCGTTTTTTTCGTGAGCTAGATGTTTGTGCCGGCATGGACTCGATCTGATGAATCAGGAGTATCCTACTGTTTATAAAGTTTGTTTTTATGTTTTGTTGTCACACCACTCACAGTTCCAGGGGAAGGAGAGGTTAAGCACCAAAGAATGTTTCATTATACGCTTAATCCGTTTGCATGTGTAATAATCGATATTTTAGACAAGGAAACAAGATTTATTTGTTAGTTGTTAAACGGCGTTGAAAGTGCTTTCTATAACTGTGAAAAAAGTAAGATAACAAAAACCGAACTCCAAGGGATATTCATAACGGAGAGTCCATTATGAAATGGCGAAATCAAAAGCTCAAGCACATCAAACAAATGCAAAACAACTGTCATATTCCTGACTTGGTACAGGCATTTCCTATTGTAGGAAATGGTGGATTAAACCTGGTTTAATAGCTAGCTAAACCTCTCACTTGTATAACAGTCGCATAGAATTCCATTATATTGACAACAATGTGTGAGCAAAACAAACAGACATAATAGGTAAAACTGTCAAAAATTGGGGTTACAGCAGTCAACCTTGTAATATAATCTTAATCACTATACAAATAAATAACTATTTCAACAAAGAAAAACAAAATGGCATATAGACACTCTATAGATAAAATATATAAGCAAAAATAAAAGACAAGAATACAAAATTGATCATAGCACAATAACACAATGGCGGGATCTATAAGTACCAAGCCACGTCAAAAGTATATTACCAAAAATGGACTAAACAGTAAAGGTTAAAAATGTACAAGGACAAATAAAAAGAACATTATAACATATAATCAAGATGATAAACAACGTCAGTACTTCAAGACCATCATGTATTATTTGTGAAGTTGATACGGGATATTTATTAACAAGGTCTTGGTATCTTTCAATGAACTTTTTTAGAAAAAGGACGAGACGTCCTTTGACATAACCTTGGCTTATCATCTTTCTGCTCGGACACTGGTGACATTTTATAAAGTCTGAGTAGCAGCTGCAAGCTCTTTTATACCGAATGAGTTGGGAAATGTATATCCCATATGCAGCTGAAGTTGGTATATTGCTGCTAAGGTGGGGAAGTTTATAATTTAAAAATTAAAATCGTCTCATTTGTCATAGATTTTGGTACTTAGATGACCGCTTATGTCAAATTCGATGTATAAGTCTGAAAATGAGACAGAGGAAGCTGTGTCTGTTGTTTCTTTCATTCTAGTTATGGAGGATATATTAATGGAACCAAATCAGAAAAGTTTGGAATGTTAATGGAAAGAACATCATCAATATATCTGAATGTGAAATCAAATGATCTAGCTTCTTTGATCATGTTTTCGACAAGTGTCTGAAGGAACTCCGCTCGTATGAAAATAAGAAGAGGTCAGCAAGGAGATGTGCAGAGTTCGTTTCCAGAAGAATGCCGACAATTTGTTGAAAAAGTCTACCTCCAAATTTAACAAATATGTTGTCAATAGGAAACTCCAGCATACTGATCACTTGTTCTTCTGTGTATGTATAAATAAGAAGATGTGGTATGAGCTCCAATCCAAGTCAAAATGATTAAAAATTTAACAATTATAGGTCAAAGTACGACCTTCAACACGGAACCTTTGCTCACACCGAACAACAAGCTATAAAGGGCCCCAAAATGACTAGTGTAAAACGATTCAAACAGGAAAACCAACTGTCTAATCTTTATAAAATAAAACGAGAAACGAGAAACACTTATGAACTTTATAATTTACCAGTGATACATTGATTACGTTCGTTAAAATCTATGACATCACTACACACACGGGCATAACGAACGAGTTGGGGCATATAAACACCGTATGATAGAGCCAAAGGAACATCACCGTCTAGGAAGGGAAAATTAACAATAGGGAATGAAAAATCGTCTCTTTTGTCGTAAACTTTAGTATGGAGTTTCCCTTTAGAAATTGAAATGTCTAAATCTAGAAAAGAACAACTACTGCTGTTTATGTTAGATTTGTTTAAAGTAGCATGTTTTACCTTTTTGTTCACTATAAACAAAATATGCCGTATAGTATCCCAAAGCAATAAATTTATAGCGTATGCATTCATTCTTATATTGAAAAGCATTGTGGATTATTTTTTTCTAGACCAAATTTTCAATTTCACATGAGGAATGGTGATATACAGGGTTGAAAAATCAAAAGTTTTGTAGAATTAATTTCAGAGAAAGATCGAGATTTAAAATTATCAAGAAGTTCTTTAGAGTTTTTTTAGAATCCACATATGGTTAATACCTGAGTGCTCATTCATGCCTAATTCTTTTACAAGACACGTACTAGTACGATTTACATACAGCTATTATTTGAAACTTTGTCCGCAGGAACAACAACATATTCATCGTGAAGAGATAATAAACATTTCACAGCTTCTTTGTCTCTGAAAACTGACTTTGGTCGATCATTCACACAGTTTTTCAACTTGTGAATTCGACGTTTTATCAGAGACCTGATTGTTTTGACACATTCTGACAATGTGTCCAGTTCAACTTCTTCTTGTTTAGCCGATCCTCTAGCGTAGTCCTCATTGGAATCCATAACTATTTTATAGGTTATGGTTCCAATTGATATGTTGGGGTTCTCTGAACTTGTAATACTCTCAGGTCGGTACTTTGTGTGTTTCGATCTTATTAGTCAAGTTCATTCCAACTGATTTGTACAGCTTGTTCTTATTTTTTGTTTACACCACTGTCTAGAGTTCAAAGAAGGGGTAAGCGCTAAGAATTATGTCTAACCACAGCATATGTACCCTGCTATTTTGTCGTTTAATGCTGTCTGCAATATGGTTTTTGGTTTAGCATAAATCAGGAAGCCACAGTTATTTTTTTCTCATTTTGTCATGTCGGAACCTTTACCATTTAGTATATGGGTTTTGCTCCTTGTTGAAAGTCGCATGAACTGAGTTTTCTCTATTGACGGACTGAGTTGTCTCAATTGACAGCCCGAGTTGTGTCTATAGACTGTCCGAATTGTCTCTATAGACAATCCGAATTGTCTCTATAGACTGTCCGAATTGCCTCTATAGACCGAATTAACTTTTTTATTCTGAGTTGAATTTGGGTCGAGTTTTTTTTGTACCTTTGGCTGGTTTCCTATTTTAAGATGGTGAAGAGTACAAGTGAGACTTGAATAGCAAGATATTAGTTTTCTACTGATTTGAAAAAAATGATGTTTTTTTTGGAAATAATTTTTGAAACGACGTGATTTTTTTTATGAAAATATATTTTATTAAGATTATAACTTCTTTTGCTTCGTATAGTATATTATTTCTTTTGTTGGTTTTGCATTTTAATGGGATAGTCGGGTGGTTTTAGTCAGACTGGTCAATTCAGTTTAGACCTTTCTTAAAAGATATTTTACAAATGGTAATAAATAAAATGTACAATCTTCACGTTTTGATAAATAGTTTGTCTTTTTGTTCTTTGGTGTTTTCGTGATACAAAAACACTACCATCAAACAGTTGTAACTATCAAACCATTTTCAAACAACTGACTGTAGAACACTAGTTAGGTAGTTACAAACTTATGATTATTGGTAAGAATCTTTAGCGGTGAAAAGCAAAGTGTGATGTATAAATTTAAAAAAATATTTTATGAACAATTTTTCATATAAAATTAATAGAGTATTCGACAAGAAATTTTTTTCAAATATGACGCAAATAAATCTTTTTTTCAATTAGGTATTGAAGGTCTGTCTTTGATAGTTCCTGTTTTTATTCACAATTTTTTCCAGACTGTGGATGATTGGGAGATTGACATATCAGATAGACAATGTTCTATTGCTGAACACTTTATATTAGGGTCTGGATGGGGAGTCATTCATTTCAGTAATTTGTTAGGTCATTTTTCTCTATTCTTTATATTTCTCGCCCATAATTATCTATTCCTTTTATTTTAGCACAACATCATTTTCTCTGCTTTATGTTTTGGCCCTATTTTATCTCTATTCTTAATTATGTGGGTCCATTTATTAGTAAACTCGACCCCATTATCCTTTATTCTGTTTACCCTGTTCAAACCCTTTTATATTGATCTCCTTTTCATTTTATATTTTTTTGAAGTCGTTGGGTTGTTATCTCATTGACGTATATCTCACATTTCCTTTCATTCGTAAAATGTTTAATCAAGTGTGAATTCCTCTGTAAGATTACTTCGTAAAGTGTTCAAACTTCTGTTTATTTTAGATATGAAAACGATAATGTTAGATATGATAAAAAACATACCGATGACATTGCATCTAACGAATACAATGAATGCTGTTGAAAAGTAAACAATACAATTTTCTTCATGCAAACCGTCAATTTCACTCGAAGAGCACTGGATGTCTAGTTAACTTTACTCGTGCTTTTATTTGTATTTCTAAACACCTTGTTAGTATGTTGTTCTTCTATAGTTTATACTAATTTTCAGAAGCTTTATATACTCTGTGTGTATATACCACTTATCAAGACTTTGGACCCCAAAAATATACATTGTATAACAAGGAGCCTTATGACCAAAAGAATAAGATATCTATCTGAGGTACTTGGGACCTTGGTCTTGTAATAATTTCTAATTGTATCAACTGAGAATTTAAGAAACGTATAAGTCAATATAACTGCAACATGTCAATAATATGTTACTTAATTGATTGATCGATGCTTACTTAACGTCCAGTTGCAAATATGTCATGCATGTTCAGGACGTCTGTTACTTGAAACATGTCATTTTTATTTATATAGATTCTACCACTGCATCGAGTGTGATACGATATTTATCCACTCGAGACAGTTAAATTTTCAAATTTAAAACGCGAGGCTCGCCGAGCGTTTTAAATATTTAAAATTTAACTGTCGAGAGTGGATAAATATCGTATTACACGAGATTTGGTGGTGGAATCTGTTTCTTTAATGATTTTCAAACAATACGCAGTCAAATTTATTCCTTCTTTTCGAATGATCTGCAAAAAGATGTGTTCTTTCTATGTGACGTCATCAGGCATGGTCGCCTTTTTTCATGCCGTGACATCAAACGAACCACACGTTGATTAAATTTTTTTTATACAATGGGTGCAGAAAGGGTATAAATTGACGAAGAATTAGAGAAAATGGTTTCTTACTTTGGTCATGCACAGAGATCATTACAATGTTAAGACGTTAATAGTTTAAACACCTTTTTCTGTCGTCAATGTATTTTTTAAATTTATACAACGAACAATAAAAGCACAATGCAGTTGAAGCAACCAAGAAGATGAGTTTTCTAATTTGTATAAGAACTTCTTTGAAATTCACTTTTCAATTAATATTTTGGTTCATCTTGCCTATAGAGCCAAGTGAGTTTTTCTCATCACTTGGTGTTCGTCGTCTGTCATATTTCGTCTTTTGTTCGTCGTCTGTCGTCGTCCGTCATCTGTCGTCTTTTGTTTGTCGGCTGTTGTCGTCCGTTAACTTTTGCATAATATATTCTCCTCTGAAACTACTGGGCCAAACTCTACCAAAATTTGCCACAATCATCATTTGGGTGTCTAATTTAAAAAATGTGTCCGAGGGGTAAAATGGAAGTTTTGTCTATTATTAGAAAACCGCTATGAATACAGACAATCTGTCTAAAGTAAAAATGTTCAAAATGTTGGGATCTACCTATCGTTAATTTACATAAGAACCTGTCCGACAACTTCTTATAAGAGCTATTGCCCTTGAATGACGGATTTTACAATTTTTTCTTCGTTTTTGCCACATTATTTTGAAAACTATAATATATAGAGTGAAACTTAGAACAGCAAAAATAACCATCAAGACAAGATCGGCAAATTAATCAACATAGCCGAAATCGTCCGACGAATCCATACCGCAGTTGATTCCCTTAGATGACAAGTTAACCTATATCTTGCGTTTTTGCCTAATATATTAAAAATTATAATAGATAGATAGAAATTTAAATGAGCAAAAATGATCAGCAAAACAAGAGCTATAGATAAGTAAAATGACCAAAATCGTCAGTTGACCCTTATTTGAGTTTTTGCTCTTTAATGACGATTTTTACCAGTTTTTAGTGTTTTGTCTTTTATCTTGAAAACTGTAATAGATAGATGTAGATAGACACTTTAAAAGCAAAAATGATAAGTAATACACGATCTACTAGTAAGTCTCATAGCCGAAATCGTCAGTAGATTCCTTATTGGAGTTATTGCTCTTTAATGACGATTTATATGAATGTTTTAGGTTTTTGCCTATCATCCCCTTGAAAACTAGAAAAGATATATAGACACTTTAAATAGCAAAAATGATCAGCAAATTAAAATCCACTAATAAGTCAACATGGCGAAAATAGTCAGTCGACTTCTCATGGAGTTTTTTTTTAAATGACAATTTTTACCATTTTTTTGCGTTTTTTCTTATTATCTTGAAAATTATTAAAGTTAGATATAATTTTAATGAGCAAAAATTATCACAAAGACAATATTGACTAGTAAGTCAAATTTTGTGTCGAAAACGATAGTAGACTCTTTATAGGAGGTATTGCCCTTGAAGGACGATTTTTTTTTGTTTTTTGGTGTTTTGGGCTAAAACTACAGAAGGAGATTCACTTGTTGTCGAATATCGAGTTGCGAGTTACAAAAGACGAGCTGCGAGTTACGAAAGTCGAGTTGCGAGTTACGAGGGTCGAGTTGCGAGTTACGAAGGTCGAGTTGCGAGTTACGAGGGTCGAGTTGCGAGTAACGAGGGTCGAGTTGCGAGTAATGAAGGTCGAGTTGCGAGTTACGAGGGTCGAGTTGCGAGTTACGAAGGTCGAGTTGCGAGTTACGAGGGTCAAGTTGCGAGTGACGAAGGTCGAGTTGCGAGTTACAAAAATATTATGTTCTTCTAATTTCTTAAGAAATATATATATATATATAAACGGTCGTATAAACGGTCGTATATATAAAAGGTAGTGTCGTCTGATTTTTGAAACAGAATTTTCAGGTTTACTTCGCATTTAATATTAAAACAAAGCATAAATGTACCCGAACTTAGTTATACACTGCATGAGGAAGGGTCCCGGTATTTTGATTGCAGGATTTGAAAGTGTTATGTGATACTTTTTATAAGAGTCTATATGTTGCAAAGTCACGCACGCTTAAATAAAACAGGATGTACTGTAGATAGAAGACAAAATGTATACAGTACTGAACAAATCAAGCATAAGAAAATAAATCATGTAGACAAATAAAATGTACTTGCTAATTATCGACATCTCTATCGAGATCTCACAGAATATGGCACTGTGTTAGACCTAAAGTAAATACTTATCAAAGGTACCAGGCTTATAATATTTTCCACGCCAGACGCGCATTTCATAGACTCATCAGTGACGCTTGAACAAAGGATATGCATTAGCATACCAAGTGTTAACTCTTCGGCTTTCGCAAAGGTTTATAATAATAATAATAATAGATATAGGAAGATGTGGTATGAGTGCCAATGAGACAACTCTCCATCCAAGTTACAATTTATAAAAGTAAACCATTATAGGTCAAGGTACGGCCTTCAACACGGAGCATTGGCTCACACCGAACAGCAAGCTATAAAGGGCCCCAAAAAATTACTAGTGTAAAACCATTCAAACGGAAAAACCAACGGTCTAATCTATATAAAAACGATAAACGAGAAACAAGTATGAACTACATAAACAGACGACAACTACTGTAATCAGATTCCTGACTTAGGACAGGTGCAAACATTTGCAGCGGGATTAAACGTTTTAATGGTACCAAACCTTCTCCCTTTTCTGAAACAATAGTATAACATCACAACATAGAAAAACACACTGTAAAATATCAATAGAAATATCTTTATTTAGAGAGAGTAACTCATTTGGATTACACCACTTTTCAATGAGGCTCTCTTAGTACAATAATAATTACATTACAAATAAACAATACAATTCAATAATAATGATAAATAAAGATGCATTACAATTTAAATTCAATAAACAATATATGGCATTACAGTACAAATATCATGGTAATGTTAAAAGTACATAGATTTGTAGTTATGCTTAAAATCTAATACTGTGTTTGATTTTTTAATTATATTAGGAAGAGCATTCCAAACTTTTCGTCCACTGTACGAGAAACTAGACTTATACAACTCTGTATTT